AGGTACTGGCAGCTAGTGGCTGAATCCTGCCTGGAGATTGCAGGTCTGTCTGAACAGAAAAATGGGCTGTGAATTATAAAGGCTGCCTTCATCACTCAATGGCAGGAACAGCACTGCAGTTCCTGTCATTGTCATCATGCTTGAGCCATGTTTGGATACTGACTGTGTTTAATTGCATAGCTAATTTACTTAATATCTCTCCTGGGGTCACTTATAACACTCTTATTTTTGGATTTCAGGGAAACTGGGGACGCTAGCAATCCATTGTGGTTCTCTCAAGGCTGGAGATTTCCTGATGATGATGGTAGTAAGAGCTTTTCATGTTAAAAGGCTTAGTTGCAGAGTAACCTGGCTAAACTGAGCAAAATCAGCACTGGCAACTGTGGTAGAGCTTAACACTTGCAAATGAATGTTCTCCAGTGAAAATATTGTTCATATGTAGGCAGAGGCTGTGAGTTCCCTGGGTTTGGATAACTTGGAGGATGTGTGTGTGGGTTTATTGGGAAATCCCTGGCAGTACCTGTTGGCTTTCCTGCGAATGAAGAATTTTCTGATCAGGTATTTAGGTATTTGGGTGGAGAATTGAGGTCATCATATGTTCTCCCTGGTATACAACTATGAGTCATCCCATTCCATGACAAACTGGTTATGTACCTTCCGAGGAGCTCCTTTGTAGCTGCCTGTTACTTCTGTTAGTGGAGCATCCAAGGTGGTTGCTTTTGGGAAGGACGGTGTGCTGAAAAGACTGCGGCAACAGTTGGCCTAATGAGCCTTGCTCTGCTTGTTTTTACACAGATGGACCTCTCTGTGGAAACTCTTTACAGCCTCATGCAGGAGCGCCAGAAGAAGTACGCCAAGTATGCGGAGCAGATCCAGAAGGTCAACGAGATGTCTGCCATCCTGCGCCGGATCCAGATGGGCATCGACCAGACGGTGCCGCTGATGGAGCGGCTGAACAGCCTCCTGCCAGAGGGGGAGCGGCTGGAGCCCTTCTCCATGAAACCTGACCGGGAGCTGAGGTCGTAGCGCTCTGGCAGTTCCCCCTCCTCACCTTCCACGCTCCATGTTTGGCACGGATACGTTTCCAGCAGGCTGCATTGGCAGGTGTTTGGAGTGGGCAGCACTGCTGCTGGACTCTATGCCAGGGCAACAGAGGGAGAGCAGCATTAGCTGCCAGAACTGCACAGTCAGGAATCCAGGAGCTCCCCAAAGGAGATGATTTACCATTCTCTCATCTCCCTCCTCTTGCCCTCCTGTCTCCTTTGCCACTACACCGCCTGTGCAGACACATTTGTTTCACTGCTGTGACTAGTTGTGGTTTACAGAGGAGGAATTTCCTTTCATCTGATTTATTTTTTTTTACTAAAAAAATTCAATGGGATATGGGGTATGACAAACCCTCTAACATGTTTTTTGTGCCACTGGGGTTTAGACAATTAAGATGGCTGGAAGGTATTTCTGAGATCCCCTGGCCTTGGAAATATGTGTGTTTTATAGGTGAAAGTGTGGGAGCCAGGAACTGGCTTATTAAAATCTGGCCATTATCATAATTAACATGGTTTGCATGGCAGGGTTTTTGGCATGTCCTTGAGGCTCCTGTTTCTGTGGGCTCACTAATTTATGAGGCTGTAAAGGAGTAACTGTTCTAGATATGTATGTCTGTTGGTGTAAAGCAAACCTTAGTGTTCCTCTCCCCCTTGCCCTGGCAATGTCCCATGCCCCAGCTGATGGCACTCTGACAGGCACCGATACCAACCTACTCACTTTGCATCCCAAAGTTGGACACAAGGTGTCTTTTTTTATTGGGACACTCAAGTTACCTTGGTGCTGTCCTTCTTTACCAGTGGGGTGCAGCTGCTTCTTCAAGTGTGTGAGGCTGGAGGAGAGAGACACAGGAAGTCCTTTGGCTCTTTCTGTTGGTTTAGCTACCCTTGTGCCAGGAGCTGGTGGTGGCACGCTGCTGAATGACTGAAACCATGGGGCCCTTCTTAGCCACCTGCTCCAAAGGCAGCGAGATGTTCATGCCTCCTCCCAGACGAACCAAGGCCAAAGAACCCATGAACCCCAAGGGTTGTTGTGTGTCAGAAATGCAGTTCCAGCACCGAGGACAGTCAGGGACAACCAGCTTCCAGTACAGCAACAAGGTGGGGTCACTTGCCAAAGGCAACTTGTTTCAATATGTCTTAGTACTTAAGAGCATTTATTAAGCAAAAGGTTGTCTCTAAACATTTGGAAGTAAGAGTGCAGTAGGTTTTTGATTGTAATAATTATTGCCTGGTGGCAAGAAGCAACAGTCTGTTCTCTTGTTGCATTCCCAAAGGCCAGCATGAATTTTTGTCATGCAGACTGCAGCCAACTTAGATGTGCATCAGAACCACGGTGGTGGTTGGATTCCAGGGCCTGCTGAACACTATCTAGAAGAAGAGTCCTGTAGAAATGAAGCCCCCTGGAATGTCCTGGGAAGTGGGATTGACTGCTTCAGGGAGAGAAGGGAACTCAGCATTAGGTTTTTTAGCAAAGGCAGCAGGTCTCCTTGCCTGCTGCTCTCACCCCAGAGGTTTTACACAGTTGCATGTACACAGGTATATGCTGTGTGTTGCCCAGCATAAAACATCAAAATTCCATCCTTGTTAAAGGTTCCTGCCATGTTTTACACTTGGATTGTTAAAAGCTTACATGAGACTTAACCCAGGAAAAGCTGTTTGTCATGGCCATGCCCTTGTTGGGTCCTCATTGTCCATCATGGAATAATGTATCTCTGCTTCCCACCATCAGACACACAAGAATATTGAGCTGCTTTAAATAGTGTCAGCAGCCATTTTTGTCCTCCTTGTCCAGATGCTGCTGTCTGGATGTTTTAAATATGCAACATTCAGTTGTCTGCCAGGTGGGATCTCATGAGTGTCCCACACCCTAGTGTGCTGGAAGCCTGTGCCACTGGGAAGATCCTGATACTGGATCTCAAGGCAGATGCTCTCTCCTGTAAGATACTTTTCTGAGGCTTGTAGACATTTGGCCTCAGGCCATTAAGTATCAGATCAAAGCACTGCTCCCTGCAGTGCTAATGAGGAGAAAGGAGTAGTACTCCCAACTGAAGGCTGCCAGGAGCAAGTGCTGCAAATCAGTTCCTTCCTCATTTGCCAGAAAACACCAAGCTCTTGGGCTGAGAATGGGAGAAAGTTTGTTCTTAGGAACACTGGTCTTTAAGCTTGTGGCTGTGCTGCTGGGCCTCACAGACAGAGCTTCTTGAACAGCAAGGGCAGGTTGTGGAAGGCATAATATCTGAACTAGAAAGAAATAAGAGCTGAAATGTGAAGGCCAACCGTTTTCAATGCTCACATATATCACAATGCTCACAATATCACCTTCATTCCACAGGTGATAGTCTCTTGCATGGGTACTGTAAGAAGCATGCACCCTCTAACTGCCCTTGAATGACAGTTTACAATTTTATTTAAAACATTGTCACTGCCTTCAGGAGCTGTAAATCTTTGGCCCTCTTGCTGAGGGTGAGACATGTCCTGCCACATCTTCTCGAGCTGCTGTTTGTTGCTTGACTGGTCCTTGTGACTTTGCTCCACATGCTACTTTCAGCTTCAGCTCAGATGCAAGTGATGCTCAGGGTAAGATTGATGCTTCCCTCCCATGCTGTTTAGCAGGAGCTTGGAGATGTGACTGGAATCACCTTTCTGCTTATGCATTTCCTCTTCCAAGCCAAATGTTCTTGGAGGAGGCCTCAGGTATCTTTTGCAAATGTACCAGCTGTTGCTTCTAGCACAAATTTAGTGCTTTGAACAGGGAATAGTTTAGCATGCTCTCCTGAAACCAGACACTGCTGCCCTTCTCTGTTTTCTGGGTGGTGTGTGGTCTGGGGTAGAGCCTAAGCTTCTTGATATGTGATCCTGTGAAAAGCTGGGGAGCAGGACGAGTCACTGGAGCTGTGGTTCCTCTCTGGCCTGAGCTGCTCTGGCACTTCCCTGGACTCTGCTGTTGCAACTCTCCCGTTGTGCTGCCACTGGTGCTGCTTGTGTCTCACACTGGTCACTGTGCTGCCCATGCAGAGCAGGTTTGCTTTGTTATTTCCGTTGTTTTTGTCACTGAATGCATTGACAGGGTGCTTAAGTGCCAGCCTACCTGCTGGGCAATTCCTGTGAAGATCTGCTGAAGGGGAGAGAAGAGTTTTTGTGGTTTTTTTTATTTTTTTAGTATATGTATTTTAAATTAAATATATTTAAATATACTTAAATATTTAAAGTGTGTTTTCCCCTCCTCCAAGCTTTTACACAGAGAGAATAGAAATACATGTTTTCACAGGCCCATTGGTTGCATGAGCCAGCTCCTCTCTCAGACTGTGAGCCAGTAGTTTCCCAAGGTACTGCTAGAATGGCCCTCCGTTCCCAAGCTGCCAGAGGGTATTTTGATTGCCAGCGTTGTGGGTGAACACTCCATGGTTTATGGGTGGTTACCCTGTTCAGCCTCCTACATGCTCCATGTTCCACAGCTCTAGCATTAAAACCTTTGGTGTGGCTCTTTTCCATGTGTGTTGTTTCTCCAATTGCCTTACTGCTCATTCTTCATTCCTACTTCCCAACCACAGTGTCTGGGCAGTGCAAGTGCACCTCAGCTTTATTTGCACCCACTCTGTGCCATGGAGGTGGCTGATTTCAGCTGCCCTGGGGCTGCCTCTGTCATGGGACTGAGAGGAAACATGTCCCCAGAATGAAAATAAATGCTGGTTGTTTTTTTCCCCCCAAGGCTGTCACAGTTCTGGTTGGCACTAATGTCCAGTTTGAATACAAGATGTGAGCAGCACTGCTTGGGACTTGGCACTGGGAAAGCGAAATGGTGATGGAACCCTCACCTGCACAGTTGATACTGAATAAAGAGAGGCAAATTTACAGGGTTTCTTTTAGTTTTGTTGCTGTTTTTTGTTTAATGGCCTGATCCCCCAGCCTCATTGTTGCCTGTAGTGTCACACTTTGGCTTTGTTACAGCAGTGGAGCATGGTGTGAGTCCCTGGAAACAGCAGCTGAAATCCACTCCTCAAAGTGAGCAATCCATTGCAGAAGGACAATGCTCCAAAAGTGTTTGGTAGCATTTTACATGCCAGGAAAGCAGCCCCTTCCCAGAGGGGTGGGTGTTGCAGAAGGCAAGAAATAGCTCACTTTCCTTTTCTATTTATGGTGACTCTTTCTAATATTCTTGGAAGTGCAGAATTAGCTGAAGGCTTTACTGCAGAAACACTTCAGTTTGCCTCAGAGCAACCACTTGTACCTGAGGGCCAAGAAGTTCTTTGCAGGCAGGATTCAAAGGGAGAGTGCTGTTGCCAGTCAAAGCTTATGTATTAGGAAGACTGTTCTACCTGAATTCTCAGTTGTGGGTTTGTGTGTATAATGCAGTTGTGGTATTGTGTATGTTACACCGTCTAAAAGTGCTAGAACTTTTATTGCAGATTAATAACAAATACAGACTAGCTGGGTGTATGGCTGGCTAATTAAGATGTCTGGCTAGGTAAGTTCAGTTGAATTGCAGTGATTTTGGCTTTAAAAAGTAACAGTCTTATTGGGACCCTAGTGCTGTCCCCCTTGTTCTGGGCTTTTCATGCCCTCACTTTCTGGGTAGAAGTCAGTCTGCAACTTGTGCTGTGAGTTGCAGCGTATTGAGCACCTAGCTGATGAATACAGTTAGCAAAGACAGTAGTTCACCTAATTACCACATTTCTACTGTCTTATCCTCCCCAGCCCCCTCAAAAGAAGGGCTACCTGATCCCTGCTGGCGGGAAGTTTGCTCTATTTTCAGTTCATTTCATTATAGGAATGTTCACTGTGATGGTGGTTACATCAGGAGCCCAGTGACCTCAGGGACCTCTTCCTAGAAATGCCAGTGAAATGGAAAGTGTTGATGACATACATGAGGCAGGTTTCAGTTGCCCCTTGGGTTTTGACTGGAGGTGGAGTTAGACTCTCTTCCCAGAGCTATCTGGTGGCAGGGCCAGGGATGGAGGGAGCAGGAGGAGAGCAAGTCCTGCAAAGCAGTCAGGAGGAGTGGTGAAAGCTGAAGTGAATGCTTCAAAAAACCAGAACTTGAAGGAACAAACAGAGCTACTGCAATCAGAAGTAGACTTTGGAATGGGGTGAGCGGCTAAATCTCAGAAGACTGTCATGTCAACCAACCTGTTGTGTAGACAAAGCAGCTGATGATGCCATTGAATTTGCATGGTTGTTTTCCTCTCTAAGAGCTGCTACATCTTGTTTGTAGAAATAAGCACAGAAACTCACACAGGTTGATACTGGTGCTCTGACTGATGGTTCAGTTTCTTTTAGGGAGACTGAAGATTTTACATTTCCCTTTCTGGGACTGTGCTTTGAAATTCTCAAAAGAGAAGGCTTCTGTTACTGCACCTGAGTTTGAAGATGCTGTTACATAAACTCACAGCTTTCATCTCTAAGGATACAACTGTGACAGCCCTCTAATTCTAATCCATGCTACATTTGTGTGGGCCATTCACTGAAGCAGCAATGGGAGGTGTGCTCCAATCTCAGTGAGCAGAACTTGTTCTGAATGCTTCAAGACTGACAGCATCAGTCAAAACAAGTACTTAAAAAAGTAATTAAATTATTCTTCAAATAAGTAGTATGGGAGGAAGGCAAGAAAGAAGCATGGGGGTTCGTTCTGGGTAACTTCAACAATTTGAAGTACTTGCTTCAGTAAGACCACCCTAGCTGCCTGAGGAACAGATTACTCACAGCTGGATTACACAGTGGAAGGTTTTAATGCAGACAAGTCCCACAGCTGCGCATCAGTGGAGCAGAAGGGGGATCATCAGGGACAAGTAAGAGGCCTAAATAATTACTATAAATGGTGCTGTAAAATCAACACTGCTTGTGAGAAGTGGTCTAAAGCTGCTCCAGCCCTGTCATGCATGAACATACCTGCAGGGAACGGGGTGTTCCATAAAGGAACTCCTGGCTGCTTAGGGGAGCAGGTCCTGCTGCAGGTAGAACACTCCACAACTCCTTCCTCAGCCTTCTGTATAAACAGGTACCATTTCTGATTTTATTTCATCGTAACATACAGGTAATGTTCATGACACAACAAGATGAGAAACTCACATCTCTCTGAACCATTTCACCAGCTTACCATACACCCAACATGCCAAGTATGCCACACACCAAATGCCATACATTATATTCATATTGAACATGTACACATTTTTCCCTCTCACATCCTCCACTGTGCCTTCCAGACTTCTGCAAACCATTTCCGGTATTGTTCAGGGACAGGACTCCAGCTGAGGTATGAGCCAGGGCACCACCCTGTACAGGACATGGGGTTAAGGCTTCCTCCTATGGGAACCTGACCCCTGTAAGTACTAAGACTACACCTTGGATTCATCCAGAACACACTGGGAATCACAAGGAGCCACAAGACCAGATTTCAGTTCCTCAGAAGGCAATCAACCCCAAACATACAAAGAATGGGAGAGAACACACATGTCTGAAGGAGCACAAAAGAGGAAGAATCTGCCTCCAGGGACTGATACGTGTTAACTCCTATTAACTGGTTTAAGTCAAAGCCACAGGCTTTTCCTGAAATGTGGCTGAGAGGAGCCCTGGTTCAACTGTTTACATAGGCAAATACACAGCTGAAAATAGTTGTGATGTAATCACTTCCACTGGAGATGTAAACAGAGACAAGTGGCAGCACGTTCAATGAACAGCCAGCACCTGACACAGTGTCCAGGGTGATGTCAACCTCTCCTGTGCCCAGGCCCTTCGTCCAGCCTCTTGCAGATGCAGCACAAAGAGCCTCTGAGCTCAGTGACTCGGTGCCTCCTCTCTGTGCCTTTTGCACTTTTTAGGATCAAGTTAATCAATGCTGTAGCTTTCAGTGCTATTTTCAACAGTCCATTGTAGGAAATGAAAGTCACATCCTAGCCACAAATGAAACAATGACAAAAATCTTCTCCACTTTTCAATATAGTAAAACCTGAGATTTGAGTCACAAACTAGCTAAACTTACAGTAAAAAAACCCCAAACATAACCCAAGCTGCTGACTTGAATTAGGGCTTCAGTTTGCTGCTGACAAATTTCTTTTTTAAAGCTGTTGGCCAGGGTTAATTATTTGTTACTACAATTTTCATCTGCCTGCACTGAAATGGGACAAAACAATAGTTTCCCCTCAACGTGTTCTGAAGGGTGCCACCCCTCTCTGACCATAAACCTCTCATGGGAACATGCCCATGTAGCCCAAGGTGAGCAGCAGCCAAGGTGGGAGGGGAAGCAGCTGGGTTACTGTCAAAAACATGAGAAGAGCTGTGCTGCATCTCCTGTGAAACCAGGGCTGTGACACCTCCTTGAGCTGGAGGTGTCTGCCCTGGGGTGCTGAGGGTGAGAACATGGTACAGCCTTCAGTGTCTACAGTTCCACCCTGGAACTGCTCAGTTAAGGACAAAAGTCCACTCCAGCTCATTTTTTGCCTTAAAAAACCCCAAACATTTGAATTGTTTTTTAGCAACTGAATTGTTAATGGGCAAGTAAAGTGTGTTGTGGCCACTTGTACCAGCCACTTCTCTTGCATGTAGCTCTACCTATCAACCACTTCTTTATAGCTTAGAGGCCAAAGTAGCTACACCTCTCAGAAGCCAGCTTAATATCAAAAATAAAAATACTGTATCAAAAGACATGGGGAAACAGTCCTAAATATGGCTCATTCATCTTTTAAGAATTGCTGCTGAGCCAACTGAAACACTTGTGCGTAGACAGCTTTAAAAAAAAAAATCAAATGTGGCCAGTCATTACTTGTTCACATTGCTTATGAACTACCAGCACGTGGCAGCCATAAAAAGCCCTAGTTTATTTTGTGTATTTTTGAGGTACTGGGTTTTTCTTTTTTCTGAAGCAGCTCTCTAGTGAATCACCTAAAGCCTATCCATTAGAACAATAGTTACACCAGTATTTACATTTCTCTGAACGGTGTGTTCAGACCAGCCTTGCTGTAACCAGTCCCTGTGGCCTTTGGAATCGTTCCCAGTCTCCTTTTCTTACAGGAAAAAGGTCTCCCTCCAGAGGTTGGCTCAGTGTCAGGGCTAAGGTGCACTGGTGAAGACGTGGGGCATGGGGAGGGGAGAACAAAACTAGTTCTGACAAGTAGGAGCATGGGTTCAGCGGAACCAGAGAAAGGGTTTGACACCAGGAGAGCTTCCTTGTTAAAAGGCACTGAAAGGATGTGCAATCCATCACACAGAATTGCTTCCTCTGACAGGGAAAGGTCTGTGTTCTGCCTTGCTCCCGGCGAGGGGAAAAGCCCAGCAGCACACCTGGTCTCCTCGGGCAGACGTCGTGGTCACTTCCCTGCAGTACCAACCTTTCCCGAGCTCACAGCAAAGCCTCTTTTTCTTCCCTCCCTCCACCTTTTTACCGGAAGTTTCAGATTTACAGGGACCTCTCACACTCATCCCTGCCAGTCACACGCGCCTCCGCCCCTCAGGACACTTCAATGATTTCCATGCTGCCTGAAAAACTCGACTGACTGCCTACTTTGCCCAGTTCCTCTCTGGACCTGTTGTCCGATAGGATGCTCTCCCCGAACTCCATCTGGCAGCTCCTGCGCTTGAACTGCTTCTCGAAGGAGCTCTCCTCGTGCCAGCTGCGCCGGGAGTCGCCGCGGTCGGCCTGGCGGGGCCGGCGGCGCACGGCGCTGGGCTGCTCGCAGCCCGAGGGCAGCTGGCTGCAGCTGTAGGCGGGGAAGGCGGAGCCGCCCCCGAACACCGCCGAGGCCGAGTAGAAATGCGAGGACTCGGCGGCAAAATACCAGCTGTTGGTGAGGGACGAAGGCTGCGGGGCCAGGATGTCCGAGTGCCAGCCCTTGAGGCCCATCCCCGCGGCGGACTTGGCCAGGTGCTGCTGGCTGGTGGAGAGCCCGAAGACGAAGTTCGTTCTGTAGGTGTCCTCCACGCTGCCGCTGCGGTGCAGGGGGTACAGGAGGGGCCGAGGCGCGGCCGCGCCGCCGCCGCCCCGGCCTGCGTGTGGCCGTGAGGCCGTGCTGTCCAGCGGCCACGGGCCCGGGGCCTCCTGGGGCCGGGCCGCCTCCTCCTTGTCGGGGCTGCTCTCCGGGCTCTGCTCCGACACTTCTTGCACGGGGGAGAACTGGCACAGCTTGCTGCTACCCTCCAGGGCAGCCGCGTGTTTGTAGTACTCCAGCGTGTCCTCGGAGGAGGCGAAGCCCTGCACCGATGCGGTCACGCAGCTGCTGCTTGCCGAGTAGGATACGGATTTGATATCCAAGGAAAAGGAGCGCTTCAGCCGGTTGCTGTCTTCCACCTTGTCCAGGGAGACGTGCAGCCCGTTGATGCCCTGCACCAGCGGGCCGTCCTCCAGCGGGGCCGGGTGCCCGCGGCGGCCGGCGCCGCCGTCCGTGGGCTTGGGCTCCAGCAGCTCCGAGGCGGCGGAGAGGCAGAGCTGGCTGGGAGAGAGGCTGCTGTGCCCCGCCTCCAGCACCTGCTCGCTGCTCTTCTCCAAGTGCAGGAGTTTCAGCTTGCTGATGTGGCCAGGCTGACCGCTCTGGTTCTTGATCTTCTTCTCGAAGTCCAACAGCTGGCCCAGGAAGTTGAAGTTGGGAGAAATGGTTGGCCTCTTTTCTTTAACAAATCTGGAAAGATGGGACAAACAAACCAATAATTATTTCAGGAGCCTGCTGCTCAGGTGTAAGATAACCCTGAGTGTTGTGAATGTCTACAGCCTATTCTTAAAGTTCAATCAAGCATAAGTAACTTGAGGATGGAGTTAAAAAAAGGCAGTTTAAAGCAAAATAATGCTTGCTGCATGCTCTCAGTTGTCTACACTTTAAAGGTGGCTAAAAGGTGTGAGGGAAAGGAAACATTTTAACTCTTCACAATGTCCACAAGCGATTCCAGCAATTTTCCCTATTTACTTCATCACTCGGAACTTTGCTACCTTGGTTTCTGACCAGAGTGAAGAACTCCTGGAGTTTTGCATGAACAACACTTGAGCTTCAGCCAAGAGACCACTTCTCAAGTGCTACGGAGAGTGGACACCTTCCCTACCATTCCAGTGACATCACTTTTTCCTGTCACCTCTCTCATGTCACTACGCTGTTTCTCATTGTCAGGCAAGAAAGAGAGCAACAGTACATTCTGACCTTGTCCAGCAAGTGCCAGCAATTTCTACCCCACGCTGTTACTGACCACTGATGGATGACCAAAACTAGAAAGGTGCAAATGCAGCATTAAAACAAAAACCCTCCCTCAAGCCCTGCAGGTGTTCAGCAGTGCAGGGGAACAAGATTGCCAAATCCCTGGAAGAGCTCATCTATTTTGGGGTGCTGTAGGAAGCAGCCTGGCTGGCACAGGTATGCCAATACACTCAAGCACTGCAAGTGTAATGGCAGTGAAAGTGTTTTGCTGAACCAGGATTCTAAATGTACAAAAGACTTGTATCACATGATTTCTATTATTTATTTCAAAGTTAAATATAAATACATATTTCTTACCTGTCTGATTTCCAGTACAGGTAAGTAAGTACTTTGCTTTTAAACAGGCTGCAAAACAGAGTTGCCCAAATCCCTCCTCCTCCAGTTTTGGTTTTGGTTTTTTTGGGTTTTTTTTAAGAAACATTCCTGGAACTATGATTAATCAGTTGACAAGAGAATTAACAAAGAAGAACCTTGAAGAGCTAAACTGAGTACAAACACACATATGATGTGTCACTGGGAAAATTAAATACTATTAAAAATAAAACCTGTCTGGGGAAGTGTACAGAGGATGAGTGTGCAGTCATTAAAAGCAGTGTGAGAAAAATGGAAAGGTGTAGTTGTGTATGTGTGTACATGCTAGCACATGAAAAATGTCAAAACTTGCATTTTTATTGCTACTTTTTGTTGTTTTTTTTTTTTTATTTTCCAGAGAACAAACAATACTAGGAGTAGCTAAGCTGACACTATAGCCTGGAATATCAGATTGCACAAACTGATAGCGGAAACTTCCACCAAGAAGTGCAACACTGGCAAATGGAGAAATCTAGTGAGTCTCCTCAGGAGAAATTCTGTAGTTTGTCCTCTTAGCATTTGATGTGAATGTTTTTAACAGTTTGCTCCCAGGAATTCATAGTTTTTGTTAATTTTTTTCCAGTCAAAGTTGTACTTGGGTTAGCTACTTAAAGCAAGGTCCTTCTTGCCTGTGTTCTGGTAGCCTCCCCAGCACTCTGTTCTTTCCACTTTCTCCTCTCTCTCCACAATACTGGGCAGTCCCAAACTTAACATTAGAATTTTTAAAAATGAAAAGAGTAGGGAAAGCATGCTGCATCCCCTGACAAGTTTTAAAGCTTTGCAAGCTTTTTCATCTCAAAATACACACTATTTTTTCCAACTGGAAAACATGTATAATGTTTAATTCTTATGTTTATTTGTTAAATAGTCCATTATACAAAAGTTTTTAAAAGTTTATTTCTTCGACTTTGTAATAGTATCACCTTTTTATTTTTGTAATAGTGTCAGACAAGTATTTTATCTAATGACTTCCTGTTGTAGTTTGACATTAACTGACATTTAGGGAAAGAAGTAAGAAACCCGCCACACTTCCACTAATTCAAAGAAAAGTATTTTTCTTTTAAGCTTGGCCAGCAAGAGATCCCAAACCAATGTGTGAAAGATTCTGTAGATGATTCTCTCTGAGCTGTGTCAAAGGAAACATGATGAAATATAACCTAAATTTCACAGCAGTTGCTCACTGCTAAGAGAAAAAGACTTAGTGGGATTAATCCTTCACATTCTGTTCATGCTTTTGGTTAAGATACAAACAAGAACATAATGCAGAGATTTCATGAAGGAATTTAGAACCTCCTAGAAGAAGTTCCTTGAAGTGTGTGCATTTTAGAAGTCTTTTGTTCACTACAGCTCTGCCCTCAGCCACTACAGCCTGAGACCAAGCAGATTTTTTGACTGAGCTCACACCTTGCACAGTATCTGTCCACATCCACTGTAATTCACACTTGTTATCTGCACCTGAAAAACAGAGCTTTTAGCTCCTTAACCAAATCTGTTCCATGTTGAAATTCCTGCACAACACCAAGCTACCAGCAGGCTCTAGTGAGGAAATGTGGGAAGTGTCCAAACACAACAGGAGAGAACTGTAGCTGAGGCACCTCTTACATGCAGTTTTTTCATTGCACACATAACGACATTCAACAGCTTAAAAGAAAAGCTTCTGTGGAAATCACGCTCAATATAGCAATATCCAGTGTTCATCTCTCTGTCCTCATCCTTGTTTTAGAGGTGGTGGTAACAAACACACAGGTTATTCTAAAGGGGCTCCTCTTCCCCCTGCTCCAGGTTCTGCATAACTCCTTACAGTGATGCACCAGCTGTGCCAGGGAGCCCATCAAAAAGAAAACCATCATTTTTTGTACAACACAACAAAGCAGTCGGTTAAATTAAATGCAGAAGTCATGCTAAACAGCAACCAAGACACCTGGAGAGTAGGAAGGTGTTCACAATCCAAGTACAGAAAAAATGGGATGTGTAAAGGAGGAAAGGGAAGGAGATCTCCACAAATATTGCCAAATGAAGTTATTCTTCAAAATACTTTCTCCACAATTTTTGGTTGACTTCAAGAGCAACAAAGAAGCTTTCTCCATTCCTGGGTATTTCACTTGCAGGCAGTTCTCTGTGAGCACTACCAAACACCAAAATGCAGGAGACAGATCCAGCCCAGCATTTGTCCTAAGTGTGGCTCTAAATACCCTCAGTTACCTCTTCAACCCTGACCATTCTGCTGTCCCTGTAGCTCACAAGATGCTGTTACACGTGTGCTGTAGCTCTGTGTGTTTGTATACACAGCTGTGGTTCAGGAATGGTGTTCACACCAAAACTCTCCAAAACCATGCACTGCTCCTCTGCAGCAGGATGGAGAGAACTGGAGGCACTAAAGGCAAACATCATGGGTTGAGATAAGAACAATTTACTGGAAACAGTGATGAGATAAGAAAATGAACAGTAACAGCACCACAGTAATGACAAGAGGGTATGAGAAAGAGGCAAATGATTCTCACCATGTGGAAACCCCACAGCACCTGCCCCAGGAGGGACCCTTCCCCTGCTCCCAGCACTGGCAGGAGGTGGCACAGAATAATCTCCAGGTCCTGGCCATGCCTCTCCTGGCTACTGCAAAAATTAACCCCATCCTGGCCAGAAGCAGGACAAAACACATACATGGAATAGGCAGTTCACATTCCATGTATTTGGCTGCTTGGATCAAAGACCATTCTGCAGTGGGCAATTAATATTAGCTGTGTGATATTTATTCAATACCATTAATTTGTTTCTGGAGGAAACCTATGCTTAAAACAAATGTGGCCAGTGACCTACCAAATTAAATGTCTGTTTCTACCCTTGCTCACAGAACCTTTTATCATCCACCCTAAAAACAAGGCAACAGGCACAAGAGTTAGTAGGAAGGGAAGATGTCCCTACCTGTAAGCTTCATCCAAGGACATATCCATTCTTTTCATGATGTATGCAATAGCAATTGTGGCAGAGCGAGATATCCCAGCTAAACAGTGCACCAACACACAGCCATTGGATGCTTTTGCTTTTTCTACATGGCAAAAGAAATTGGCAACTGTCAAACTCAGCAGCATCATACTGGGATGAAAAGTTTACAGAGAAAGTAGTGTTACTGAAAATTATTCAAAGCTTCCAAATGAACTGCTAATTGCAAATCTCATGGAAGCCTGAAACAAAACTCATTTTCTCTAGCACTGTGTAGTAGCATTGAGTATAGAAAAAGCATGACTACACACAGGAAACATCCTGTAGTCACAGCATAGCTCATTTTAATGTACATATAAACAGCCCTATTTAGATGTCTGGGAAAGGTGATTGCTTCTAATTTTATATTCAAGTAAAAAGCAAGCATTCACGATGGAACTAGTTCAAATCTGGCTAGTTCACTTCTCAAAGGTAAAGACAGAAAGTGTATGTCCAAATTTCTAATCCACTCTCTGCAGACATACATCAGGCATCTAGCAGGCTGCCTGAAAGCTCTGAAGTGCCTTTGCACTGTAATGCTGGAACATGCAGTGGCAGAATCTCCCCTCTTTTCGCTCCTGTGCTCATGAAGTGATGCTGATCATGTCCCTAGATTCTGAGGGTATTTTCACACCACCCAGAAAGCACCTGGGGCTTCTCTGGCCAAAATAGCATGGCAAACACACAGAGCGATCTAAACACTGTTTGAGAGAGAGAATTAAATTTTTTCTACTCACCTATAAAATCGACTGATTTATCCAACCAAGGCAAAATTTTCTCACAAAAGCTGTCATTCACAGGCACTCTGAGGAAATGGGATTCTGGAATAAAATCAGGCTTTGGACAAGTATTGCTGGCATTCAGCACGTAGCCAATGTCGTTCTGCTGCATCAGCTCCTAGGAAAGAGAGGGAGATTAAGCCTAGACAAGTCAAATGGTAGCTTTGGCACATTACAAAGCTAAAGACCAAACTGAAATTTGTGTTGGAATTGCTCTAGCTGTGTAAGGGACATTCTTCTAGGAAAAAGACAACTCCTCAGCTTTGAATTATTTTAACAACTTCTAATGAGACATCCAGTGTGTCCAAATAACATATGAACTGCAAATCCCATAAAAACAAAGTTAACAAAGAAGTAATGGTAGAATACCTTCTGCTACTCTGAAGCATCACTTCCAAGAGAATGAACTTTTTGCTACTTTGGTTTAAATTTTCAGCATGCAAGCTGACAACAAACACTTCCCACATGCAGTTTGCTAACCTGAATATATGTTTTCCAGATCACATATCTAGGACTGAAATTGCCCCATCACAGATATTGGTGAGAAATAGGAGATTAAATGGATGCCTCCTGCAGTCACCTCTCAAGTCCAGGAGTTCCTTGTTTCTAAGGGAATGTGCAAAACTCTCTCAAAACCTCAAGAAAAGAGATGAAGATCTTGTATTAAACCATTTCCACACAGCACTGAGTGGCATTTTACAGGAGTCCTGCTCTGTGATATACAATTTCAGTTTTCAGTCTCTATGCCTCTTGCCTCTCAGAGAAATGTCACAGGAACAAGCAAAGACAGTCTGTATATTTTAAGAGTCAGCTGGGCTTTTAAATAAGTCAGTTTTCATGACTGAAATAAAAGATAGGTGCCTCTTTTCTACATTTTGACATATGTGTGGTATTTATAGTTGGGCAAAGTAGTTAGTGATGCAGTGGGCACCTTAGTCCAAAAACATGTGGAAGAAGTACTGGAAAAGTAGAGATGGCTCCAATACAAACCATCCAGTTTCCTCTAAGGAAGCATCTTGAAACAGAAAGCAATTTAGCATGTTAGAGTAATGCTTATCAAACTGCCATGGTTCAGAGAGGATCTGGCAGTACTAGGCTTGGACACTACTTACACTGAACATAAACATTGAGGAGCTTTTGGCCAGATTTCTATGGAAATGCTTATCTCAAAATAAACATTAAAAAAACCACCAAAAACAAACCCCAAAATCTGGTTTTAATCCTTTTGCTTTCATAGCAGATACATAATAAAGTTTGTCAATCCACAGGAGCAGCAGCATGAAGGAATTCTACACTGCTGATTTTAACTGAAGATCTACCAGTAGAAAAATACAGTCACAAATCCAAATGGTTGATTCTTTCCCAAATTCTTTCTGCTAGCATAGAGATCTTTCAGTGAGGAGCAACAGGGATATGCATATTAGCAGAAAAGCCAGAACTCTATCTTGTTCAGTCAGAGCAGTCTAACTAACATGTGATGTTGAACACAAGTAGCCCACACGAATGGCACAGCGTGTGTAGAAGGGATGAACACACACACAGGGATATCCATGCATAAATTAAATGCTGAGTGAGAACCAAGAGCTACAGGGGAGAAAGGAATCTCCTTCAGTCATTGGCAGAGGAGAGTGCACAAAGTCCAGCCAATAGTGGTTCTAAACAGGGATTTTACATTAATTTCTGCTAGGGAGCTGATTTTTGTTGCCTGGGGTAAAATAAACTGATCCTCCAACCTCTCATCCGAGCTCCCTCACATCAGCACATTCAGAGGCTGGAGGTGTGGGCACATTAAACCAATGGACATGCATTCTGTCATGAACGCATTCATCTAGGGGAACAGGAGATGGACAATTCCTTGCAAAGCAAATAATCAGAAAAGTTATTTGCAATGGTCAAAATAAAAAAAAAAAAAAAAAAAAAAAAAAAAAAGAAAAAAGGAAAAGGACTGTATATGTCAAGGTAAGTTCTCAGCCTTAGTGCTTCTTGCCCTGCTAATTTCTTGGGTCACACTCCCAGTATAGCTTAGCTTCTCATCAACAAATTGCAGTATGTCCCTGTTTGCCTCTCTCCCCTGCTTCACATCCCCCAGCTGAAGCACCAAGCTCCCTCCAGCCCTGCATGCCTTCCACAGCTGTTGCTGCTGCACCTTCCTTGCCTGGATTTCACTCTCACATACTGACATGCCTAAAAGCAGGACTGCTGTAAGGAAATATGGGAATATTGGGAATTATCCAGAGGGGAGAGGTAGTGAGAATGGGATTCCTGGCACAGGGCACTAACTGCACTAACTGGACTCCTGGTATCTTACGTATGCCGGGGGGCACCTGATCCTTAACATTCCCACCCCACTGTCCTGCACCACACAGCTTTTCCCTTCCAGGATCCCAAAGCTCTTCAGCAGCAAATCCTGGGAAACAATTACATTGAGCTGAAATACTGACCCCAAACCAGCTTACTCCCTTGTTGTCACTGCTTGAAGGTGAGTGAGGAGCAACTGGAATATCCAGGACGAAAGCACACACAGGGTCCTGAATCCCCAGGTATGAAGAGGGGGATAGTGAAAGCCTCGCTAAAAAATGAACTGCCACGGTCAGGTTTGTTAAGAACATAGCTAAGGGGGGGGGATGAATTGGGAAGGATAAAAAAACTTATTATTTCTTTTAAAATATAAAATTGCCATTAAAAACATAAAAAGCCATTGATGGGCTATACAGTCCAACCATCACCACTGCACAGTTATGCAAGGTTTTTGATGTGGAATTGATTATTCAAATGGAACAAGAAGGCTGCAGATGCCAAGTCCAAAATCTACAAGCCAGGAAAACCACCCCAAAATATTAGTGCTTGTCTTTCAGACTGAAGCTAAAGAAAGAAGTTATGCTTCCTTCTGTTCTGAAGAATCAATCATTCCCACTGTGACACGCTCCAGTGTAATAACCATAACAGTGCCTTCATTGTGAGGCACCCAAGAGCAAAAAGTGAATTACAATGGAAGATCCAGAAATCCTAATACTAACAACTCTGTGAAAAGAAGGTAAATGCTCTTTTGCAAGCTTATTTACATTTTATGACTTGTTTAATCTGAAAATTAATAGCACCTTAAAATGTTATGTTGTTCTGGGAAATAAAATCCAGGTCTGGAAGAAGAGAATAGTTATTCAAGTGGGAAAGCAGAAAGTTTTACATTTTAAATGCTGGTACAAGCTATGAGGTCGAAGTAGGATGCTCCTTCAGACCCATAACCACACTATAATTGCTTTCTGTCACACTAACTTTCAGAAAAGACACTGTCATTCCTGTGTAGGTTAGAATGCAATTTTCCTCTCTTTCACAAAGAATAAGGAAGATCTTCTGTAAAAGTAAATACTGTCTTGCAATGCCACCAATCTATCACAGGAAAATAACCACAATGTAGCACACTGATACCCAAACCAAACTTTTCTCTTAGAACTCTTAGGGGGTTTTAGCATTTCAACACTGCAAAAAATACTAATGTTTTCAGAAGTAAGCATTTAGAAAGAAATCTGCAAAAAATATTAAAATTCTCTTAACTTTCCTAAATGAATCACTAGTTTTGCTGAAGGACAGAAACCAAGCATTTGTGGCTGCACATCTTTCCTAAATGAAGCATTATCAGCAGAGGTATTGAGGGTAAATAGCATTAGTATTCTGAAAAGGTCATGAATACAGATTGTCCTGCAACAACAGAAACATTTCCCTACTCAGGCACTCAGAGATAAGCTTATAAAGATTCTGACAAAACAAGCTCATCGCGATAAACTTGATGAATTACAGATGTGAATTTTCATCAAGTCTAACAGTAGTGCTGATTAGTAGTTTCTTGCAGATACTTTTGAGATTGTTTCATTTCAGAGAAACTGGTATGTCTAGTGAATGGAAGAAACCACGAGAACTCACAGCACTTGAAGGCAAAAATAAGGTCAGTATACAACATTATCTTAAGTTTGGGGAATCCCACTAGAATTTTTCAGGTATTTGTTTGTTTTTTTAAAATCTGGATTTGAATAGAAAAGAGCTATTTTAATCTTAGCAGAAAGCTGACTTCCTGTCCCAAGCAGCCTCGGCAAGGCCATTAAAGTAGAACATGCAAACATAGCCACTTACCAGCTCTTGGACTGTCCTAACAGAGACAGCACTTTGCTACTTGTCCCTCATTTTTTGTTTCTCGCCCTCTGCTTTTGAATGTTCTTCCCAGATTTCTTGCCATGCGTTTCTGGGCAATCAGTGTAGTCAGTCATCCTGCTTGCTCTCCCCAATGCCCCTGTGCAGGATCCAGGCTTCCCAGAAGCCAAGCACGTTGCAGGAAGAGCAGCAGAGATCCATTATTTGTGTTTCTAACATGCCAGTGTGTGGCTACCACTAACTTTTAGTTTAACCCAGAAACTGATTAAATCCAGGAAGCTGGGAGTTGCTGGTATTGTGGAAAACATCAAGTGCTTTCTAAGAGTGTGCAAATTGTAATTTGTTCCCACAGCTTCTTCAGTATTTTTGGGTATGAAAGATGGGAGCCATTTTGCATTTTCCAGAGGCAAACATGGAATCTGAAGATGTAGATAGGAGGTAGATAAGCCACTGGCACTTAGTTCTAGTTTAGTGCAGCCAACAAGCCACATGCCCAAGAAAGAGGAAAAAGTTAAAAAAATTAGTAGATCTGAAATAAAAAGATTTATATTTGTCCTAAAAATGGGTAAGAAATCTAAGAGATCACCTTAGATCTAAGGTCACTCTTAGGTCATCTAAGAGGTGGAAGGACTTTCAAAACACTGGTTGTCAGGGATGATACCAGGTATTAAGAACTTCCTGAACACCTGAATAGGTGGTGTGCTATCATTTGTGTGGTTCTCCATACAGCATGGCAAACACAGTAATCCTTGGTTTTCAGTCCAAAGAACATGTGAAGAAGTACAAATCTGACCAGCTCCTGGGGTTCTTGCACTAATTCCAAAGTATCTTCAGCTACAGGGTTTCCTTTGACACACACTGAGGTGACACCAAGATTGCAGACACTGACACAAACAGCATAAAAACATCCAATACCTTATCAACTGAAAGAGGTGGTTTTTTTAAAAATTACTTAGTTCCTGCTGGGGACCATAAATTATTTTTGTGGTAGGAAGAGTAATAAGCTGCTTTGACATCCATCATAAGTGAATCACTGAATTGAATGGCTGACCTGGCAGTAAAGACAAGGAAGATTTTAAAGGACAAAGTACATGCAATGACTGCTGACTATCCTCCATTTCTTTGCCTTCTTCCAGAGCAGTTACCTTCCATATGATTGCTTGTGTGTTAAAAATCCCTTTAAAATAATTGTGAAAAATCAAAAAATAGCCTATTAATGGCCAGACTGGGATGAAGCAAAAGTAGAAGAAACCAGTGAAAATTTAAATGGTCAAAGTACATAAATATTATTCAGTTACAGGACTACTTATGATAGCTCCTGGCTTAAGGTTTGTACGTAGATAAAAAACCATACACATACTCCTCGCACATAATTAGGGGAATATTCTAGAGCAAAGCACTCCTTCCCTTTTCCCCATCCATATATTTAATGCCAGCTTATGAAGGCTGTTAGGGATTCAACTAATGCATAGAACTGTCAGAGAGCACGGGAGGGAAGAGGGCACATGCAGCACAAGGAAGAAAAATTCCCTTTGAAGGGACCCAAGGTGCAGGTTGGAAGCAGTGTGAGCTGGCTCCTCATGGAGGCAAACATCTGTGGTTGTACATAGGAATAGAGACCCATAGCAATTTGAGACAAGCTCTCTTAGACATCTGATAGTACAGCATCCTACAAGTACTATATTTGATAATTTTGCTATTTTAAGATTTATTTTTTTTTTTTGCTATTCTTTAGGAGCAGAAATTACTCAGTTTTAGTAATTTAAATTACTTAGAAACAGTAAAAGCTTCCTAATGCAGTGCCACCATAAAAGCTCATTTTAAACAATCCCACTGATTTCAGTAGGTGCACAAAGATTTGTTTGCAGTAATCCCTTATTATACAATTCATGGTGTTTAAATGTTATTTTTTCCAAGCACTTGAAGGAAATACTAAAACTACATAATCTTCCTTTGTCCTGCTGTAACTATGAATATAATTGTGACAACCTCCAAGACCTGCCAAAACAAGCCAGTCAGAGCTGTGATAGGAACACACTTGACCTGCTTCCATGGTAGGTGTGATATTTGCTGTTGGTTGATAGGTTCTTGAGGAATGTACCATTTCACCTGCCACAGGATGAAGGACAAAGTTTCATATGACATGACCCACAGATTAATTACGTGGTGTGTGGATCACTGCTTCTCCCACAGCTTTCCATGGCTTGTGCATTACCTGCATCCACTTCTGCTGTTTCACAGCTGTAACGATACACCATGATGGAAGATCCCTGGAGATCAGATATTCATTCCAGTGACCCACATGGCACCCAGAATGCTCACCTTGTTGAGGACATCTCGCTGGCACCCAAGGTAGAGATGAGGGAGGATTCTAGTTGGGCCAGTGTTGGAAACAGGTAGGCAGGGTTGAGAAATACAAGTAGGGATGAGTGTGGATTTTCCTTCACAGAGACCAGGGAAAGAGCTGGAGAACTCAGCAAATCCACCTGTGAGAGGAAGAGCAGGTATTTAATCTACAATTACAAAAAAAACCTACCAGTATTTAATCTACAAATGTGGTGGTGCCTGTGCCAGCTGTGGGAGAGCAGCATTTAGCATAGGAGATGGGAGAGGCACTGAGGGGCAGCAGGAAAGCCTTGGCAGAGAAGCTGTACATGTGCATTTTCCTTAGGTCAGCTTTGTGGTTCTCCAGACAAAATGGGAAACACAGTAATCCTTGATTTTTCTCTCCCCAGAATATGAGAAGAAATACAGATCTTTCTGTGGAACCATACATAAGCAGCCAAGGCCTGGCTACATATTCCTATTCTGCCTGGAACATTTATTTCTATCCCTCCACTTCTCAGAAATTTTTGATGCTTCTTCCCATTCTTAATATGTGGAAATGATTCTTCAGAAAAACAGGCACAGCATCCACCACACCATGAACAGGCACACCTTTCAGTCTCCACCCCAGCAAGATGCTTTCTAGACACTTCCTTCTCCCATATCAGGTTTATACTGAGAGCTCATTAAGAAAAAGTCATATTTACTCTATTTGGTAAAAGCATGAATATGCATTTAGTAATGCTTACTTTTAAAATCCTACATAACTAATTTAAACCCTACATTACTAATTAAAATCCTACAGTACTAATTAAAATCCTGCAGTAATATTTTGAATGCTGCTCCACAATTAATGTACTTAATTCAGGACACTGGAAGAAGTTTCATCTTTCAAAACCACACCAAGCCAAGGCTTCTCCATCTCAAGTGAGGGAGGTGAAGCAGAGGGAAGACTTGCAAAGCACAGTGAAAATCCCCAGCTCTTTCCTTCCAGACAAGCAGAATTTTAACTGAAGAAAGGGAAATTATAACCCGATCAGAACGGAACACCTTGTTATCATCAAGGAATTGAAGCAGTGATGTGCTGAATCTGCCAAATGCTATGTTCACCATGATTACAGTTTGAAGATGCAAATTAAAATTATTCAGGAATAAGCTAATGTACTGTTTTGCCAGGGCTTGCATTACCATTGCCTGAACTATGCCCATTCTTTCGATTTTAAAAACTGTATCATTAGTAAATGCAGAAACACCAAAGCAATAGTGTGTAACAACCCATTTTATCTAATAAAAAAAGCCAGCAAACAGATTTTAGAACAAACATTCTATGAGCAGCAATTCCTGCTCAGTCTCCTGAATAAATAAATAAACAAATAAAATAAAGAATTTGACTAGTTTGTTAGACAACTAAGGCACTGCCCATCAGGAGCACAGACCCTGCTTGTTCCATATTTGAGAGGAAGAATTGCAAAACAATTCTCTCACATACTTGCTAAATTTTTTCCTGCATGGCCTAATGTTTTCCTTTCTGTTACTGGAAGCATTTATAGGCAGTATATACCTCTGAGATTGAATTTAAGCAGTTATTTGAGAGGGTGGTGAAGAAGAAATCAAATATTTGCCTTGGTTTCATTTGCTTATCCTTTATTTGCTGGGAGCATTGTTGGCTGCTTTGTGGATCCTCTCACCAGCATGACTGGAAATAGAGAAGTCCTTACAAAGAAGCTGCACAAGCAAGGATTTTACATCTGCACTATCTTTGCAAAAGACTACATGGAAAAAGTTTGGAAAAAAGGGTTTCTTCCCAACTACCTAGAGATTGGTCTCATTTCTGTGTGAAACCTGTGACAAGAAATTAAGAAGGAAGTTAATGTGCAAAACAACTGAGATTCTGGGGAGATGGAACCCATGCTCTGTAGTCATAAGTATGAGGAGCAGTCTTTTATTTTTATTCCAGGACTCTATCAAGGCCAATTGAAATGATTCAAGATTAGATGCTTCAATACTTCCTCTAAGGCATTCATCCTTTCAAAGTCATGTTTCTTCTTTTCTACTCATGCTCTCCTAGTAACATGTTGCTGCACTACCTTTACAACATGAATTACACTCACAAAACTCTCAAATCTCTGAAGTCTGACATTATACCACCTGCCTTCACATGTGCACCAAGTGAACCCTCCTTTCCTCTGACTGTATTTTAACCTGCTGTTACTGTCTGTACTGAACTGATTTGAGAAAGCACAAAAACAGCGATTTGTTTCAAATATTAAGCTGTCTTCCCTGACATCCTCTATGACCAGTTTTTCAAAACGTTAGTAGCTTTTCAATGAATCTGGCTTTGATTTATGGCACTTCCCAATATGGAAAACCCATTATAGGTCTGTGAATGTGGAAAAATTGCTTTAAAAAGCCCACAAACAAGCAAATCCCACACCAAGAAAATACACATAAACATATGCATCCTGTTTAAGTACTAATTCCTTTAAGTGTCACAAACTATCATGGGTCTGGAACAACAGCATCCACATGTATGATCACTGAGCTGTCAGGGCATTATGACACTCATTTCTGTTCAAAAGAACTCATCACTATTTGCTTGCACTAACTTACAAAATATACGCATTTTTAAAATACATAAGGAAATCTATTTAAAAAAGCCCTCAGTGCCAAAAGATGTATAGAGAAAAAGGATTTATTTCAGATGTCTCTGTTCTCTAACACAGATGGTGGCTCCCCAGAGTTCCCAAAACTGAACTGTATGACCAGACTACATGAGGAGCCTCTTATGAGGAAAGTGCTTTAAGCACTCGGACCACCTGTACAGTTCAGCTGTAAATGAAGCAGTTTTCAAAAAACAAACCTTACACACTTAGAAAATTAATTTAGTCTACAGGTAGGAATGCAGAACAGAAAAAAGAAAAATGGGACAGGTTTTGTTTCAAATTCCATAATTTGGGGATGACCTTTGCAAGAAGACAATTTTTTTTTCTTTAAATCTTGTTACCTACCACAGTTGGAACAGGGCCATTGGCAGCACTGTGCAGTTTCTTCTAATTAGAGAAAATATACTTTTCTTCTGGAGCTAGTTTCTAAATAACACCCTTTCTCCCACCACTGCTCCAACCTCATGTGAATCATAAATCAATCACAAGAGCATGTTGAAACTATGGGGGAGAGGAAAGCAAAAATCACAGATCATTAACAGAGCTACTGGGTTAATAGAGTTTCACTAAATTCTTTGATAAATGTCACTGGGCCTTGGAAATAGATGACTGACAAATAACTCCAAAATATTCACTCCTCAGTAGCTCTGAACCACACAGGTTTTCTGTATTCTTAGTGGTAAGCTGAGCTGAAACAGCTCTCTTGACATTCAACAGGATGTCTCTACAAAACCGTGCCAAGGTGCCAAAAGCTCTCTAGTTTTGCAGCCCTTGTGTGTGGCAGACAACCCAACGCCTCCCAGTCCTTACAGTAAAGTGTTTCTTGCTTACAAGCCTCCACATCCATTAGCTGAAATCTGGCAAGATCCATTGAGTTTCTTGATAGCCCTGTTGCTATGGTTCTCCAAAGTGGTGACTATAGACTTCCCTTTGATCAAGGCTTCCTTAACTACAGCTGGGATCATGAAGGTATGATCTCTAAGGGAATCTTGGTATCAAAAGTGTCAGCTCCCTTCTCAGCCAACTCAGGAAACAAAACAGGGCCAAACCCAGAATGGATGAAAAAAGTTTCAGCAAAATTCTGCAGTAAAATTATTCCTCCTTATAGATTCACTGCCTAAGTCCTTATATAAACAGAAATCCCAATTAACTTCGCTAGAAACTGGAAAAGGCAGGGAAAGAATATGGGATCAGGAGGCAACAAATGACAGAGAAGTATTGCCGATTTGGGAAGTGCTTCCTTTCACTGATAGAATGGAATCCATCCAGATCCTTATAATTACTTAGTTTAACTACCACTAAACACAAACCATAAATTAATCCAGAGGATTGACTCCTGAGAAGCACAATCAGTTACAGCAGCTCATTTCTCTGTGTTCTGTGGAAACAGAGCAGGAGCATTCCAGCGCTGCCAGCTGCCCTGGGGCGATCAGGGACAGAGCTCTGCAAACCCGCCTGCAGATTTGCAAATGAAAGCTCTAAGATGCTAAAGATGCTAAGCCCAAAGGTCTTGATTTGAACACTTAGTACAAAGTTGTGAAGTGTAGATCACATTTCATTGTTTTTATCTAACATTGAATAAAACCTTTCCAGTTAAATGACATCATAACAGGACAGCTGGATGGTTCTTATGTTTATTCCATATTACACTGGTTTATCTTCTTTCTCCTGGTCTTTTTATTTTCTTCAATGGGATGTCAAACCATTCAGAGATGTGACCATAATTAAACAAGACAAATTCACAGGGGAACATACTAGTTACTGATCTGGCCCAGGGAAGAGCAAGAACATTAAACAGAAGCATCAGTTACTAAAAAAAATCAGTTTTCAAAATGTGAGCATCATTCTTCATTCACACCACAAACCACAGATGCTCCCTCATACATCCATTCTATCTCTCAACTTACACATATTTCTAACATGTAGGAAAAAAAATTCAATCAGGAGATAATATCTCTTTATAGTTGCTCATAACATTACTGTTGAAACAGCCAATTCTGTAGTTCCTTTTCATCCTCAAGTATCTGCAGAGATGTGCGTCACAATTTTTATCCTTAATCACCTAGAGAGAGCTGCTCTTGCTAATTGGGCATGTGCATACTGACAAAGCACAGAAAGGAACAGAGATCTGGCCATGCTTCAGAGACAAGGTGGGTTAAGTTTGGGTGTGAAACTGAAGAGCAACAGCTGTGGTGCAACTCTGTGTTTCCTCACAGCTCTGCAAGGAAAGGGAAAGATGAAAATAGGGGACCTTATCATTAGGTGTGACTTGTTTTTTCTGTCAAAGTATGGAGGCAACTCCTACAAAGGTGAGAGCTCCATGCATACACAAATCCTAACAGTTAAAAATGTAGAAACAAGCTGACAGTGCATTTGTGCCATGAGGATTTTATACTATTTTTTTGTAAATGCAGCCATGAAACCTAACTTGGAATGAAAGAAAGGTGAGAAAACAGATGTTCACGTTTGCAGTGAGCCTGGCCAGCTACAGCTCAATG